CCCCCCCCCCCCCCTCAGTAGGTATGTGCCTAGCCAGACGTAGGTCCAATCCCTAATATCACACAGTATGTTAGCAGACATTTTAGTGGGTTTTCCATTCTTAAACTTGCTGTAGCCTCATCATCTACAGAGAAAAATACTGGTACAAATAAGAGAAATCATATTACGTTCTCTATTAACTAATAAAAACGTGTTTGAATCTTTTACTGCTTTTGAGATTTATTATTAAAGGGAGAAAATTAGATTTAAAAAAAAATAATTTCATAATTTTCTAAAAATAATTGTACATAATACACTCCTTAGGGCCTGTTGTATCAGATTTTATTTTTGTATGTTTGCCGTTTGTTTTGCAATCACAGCTGCTATTTCAAAGCTGTGTATCTGTTTTGACTGAAGACGGCTGGGGGGCCTGGTGACAAGCCTTATCATTCTAAATGGGGGTGAAGGCCATGCCAGAATAATAATGTTACTAGATCCAGATGTAGGCTAGATGACATCATCATTAATATAGGTAAAGTATATTTAAAAATTAATAGTACTAGGTAGTACAGTATAGTGAAGCTGATCTTTCAAGGGGCAGGCCCTCTTGGACTATATATGGGTGGCAGCATACTGGGAAGGTAGAACAGACTTGTTTTTCATGAGGATTGATGAACATCCCACCTTGTACAGTTTGCCCAAATGCCATAAGCAAGAGAGATGGGACCTCCGGCCTGCGAGCCTAGGGGATTATACGAAAGTCTCACTTGGTCATATAATTAAAGGGGTAGTCCTACTTGATCATGAAATTGAAGGGGTAAACTCATTTGGACGAATGTAGGTAAGAATGGCCCCGGAAAAAATGGCCCAGGAAAAATGGCCCCGGTAAAAATGGCCCCAAATGACGAGTAGGTAAAAATGGCCCCAATGATAAAATTCATTAATAGAAATGATTTTTTTTTTTTAAATCTTCAAACATTTAAATACTGTAATAAGCAAGAATTGAATCAATAACAAATACAGTTAAACAATCGATGCAAATAATGTACTGAGAGATTATCAGAAAACAACGGCCATTGAACATTTTTTGATAGTTGAAATAAGTTTCAAGAAAGTTTATTCCACTAACAAAGTAGAGGAATGACATACATACATACTTCAGCTACCAAAATATGCAACTCTTAGATAACCACAATATTCACTTTTGTTAAGTATCAAATGAAATAACTTTACATGTTATAAACAGTGCAAATAAACAGTAATTAAAGCATGTGGATCAATTGTGTGTTTGAATGACAAGTCCATGTATAGGAAAAGGGAGGCTTACTTTACTTCAACAAATGTTCTGCTTAGAGTTACTACAAAGAAATATTTGTTAATCAAATATTGTTTTTAATGTAAACTGAATTATTAGGAATACATTTATTTAAGCAACTTATTTAATTGCATACTTGGTTTCTACTCCCTGCCAAGTAAATAAGTGCATAAAACTATACTAAATAATGTAAACTGAGATACTATATTATATACATAGTTATGTAAATATGGCAATTATGCTAAGAATTAAAATGGCGTGTAATTGTGAGTGTAAATTAATTATGGTAGGATCAAATGGTATTGCTAAATCCCAAAAACCTAAAACACACTGTAGAAAACCAAACAATTCAATTGTGATTTACTCACTTGGTATATCAATAAGAAAATTAAATATTTATAAGAACCTATTTTTTGGTTAAAATGTTGATTTTTTTTTTGTGAAAAAATACTTGCAAATACAAAATCCAAACCCTTTAATTACGATTGTAGAACTCTCTTTTTCTATAAAAAAAATAATAATTTGATGTTCATATAAAATTGTTTGTGGGGTTTACCAATACCCGGATTGAATTTCTGGAAAATTGTGATTTCGCTTCCTTGAAATTGGCCACAAATAAATTATTTTAGTATTAATAAATGCATGATTTATGTTGATATATTGATTATGCTGTTGCTATTTTTTAACATTTAAATTGGAAAAAAAATAAAAAGTGTTATTCATGGCTTTTTTTTATCTTTGAATATTTTATCATTGAGTATGTAATTTCTGCAAAAAGTAAAATGTAAATGGCAATTTATTTGATGTTAGATTCCTTTTAAAAACTAAATTATTTCAGTTTAAAAAAATGCATATAATGATTTTTAAAAAATCAGTTTTAATACAGAATTTTATTATTGGGGCCATTTTTACCTACCTGTCATTTGGGGCCATTTTTACTGGCGCCATTTTTACCGGGGCCATTTTTTCTGGGGCAATTTTTTCCTGGGCCATTTTTTCCGGGGCCATTCTTACCGTACACCCATTTGGACACATGATTGAACTTGCAGTCATATTTTGTCACGTAATTAAAGGGGCAGTCCTACCTTCTTTTTGATAAAGGAGCAGTCAAACTTAGTCATGTGGCAGTAATTAATGGGCTAGTCCCACTTTAATTGGTTAATGGTATTGTGATTAAAGGGACTGTCTCACTTATTCATGTAATGTACTGGAAAGTCCTATATAGGTATGTCATAACAACACATTCAAACAGTAATTTTGGTTTTTATTACAGAAGAAAGAGGAGGAATTTCAGCAAACAAGCCACAGAAATTCTCAACGAGTATTTCTATTCCCACCTAAGTAACCCGTATCCAAGTGAAGAAGCAAAGGAGGAACTTGCCAGGAAATGTGGCCTTACGGTTGCACAGGTACACATTTTTAATTCCTAACAAGGCTTCATTTACCTGTTATTACTATAAAGAAAACACATATAGTTTGCTAAAATTCTGTTCCAAAATAATACTATTGCCAGTCAGTGTAATTTATGCGTACCTGAAACATGTACACAATAAACTTAAGTTCACAGTATTAAACATATATTTCAATTTAATAATCACAAATATTAATGTAATCTGTTGTACTTATTAAAATTATATTTCTCAAACTCTCAAGTTTCTTCAAGAAAAAATAGGTCTTGAAAACATAAATTTACACTTCACTAAGTACCCACTCAAAGATATCTTGCAGATGTAGGTACCTGCCAAAACACATGATGACTTGCCAATCAGTGTTTATTGACACTGGGTTTTATCATCGCAAGTCAGTTTAATATCAGATTTTAGTGTTTAATATCGTGTTTGATACGAGACAAAATTGAAATGGTTTGGAATTGAATATGGATATGTCGTAGGATTTAATGCATTAGACCATTTAGGAGACAAAATTGCATAGTGACTTCACTGAAAAGAAAATATTGTTTTATATGAGTGGCAAGAAGATGAACATTAATTAGATAATATTAATACTTTCAAAATATAAATATATACAAAATAGAAATTATAATTTAGTAACAGCTTTAATGTTTACAATAATTTGGATTCTCAAGATTTAGTAAAAAAAATATAGAATAAAGACATTTGAAGAATTATGTCTTAATAGTATATAGTCTGGCTGTTATAGATTATTAATAGAGAAAGTATAGAAATCTTTGAATATTAAACAATGTTTTATTGTTATATAATAAAGTCCTTGTGAATTGATATCCTCACTATTAGCCTTCAGTGCTTTTCTTTTCCTATCTTTTAATCTATTAAAAGAAATGATATGCACTAATATGGCAATTTCTGCTTCATATAATAAAAAAAATCCTCATTGAATCGATCCAAGTCAATAATTAAATTTACTCCGCATCTTATCTCGGCTGTTAAAAAAAATGTATTGGTATTGATAATGGTAATTCAATTTACTGTGGTGTAGCATATTCTTAGGGTTTCTTATATTTTTTTATCCGATCAGCATAGCATACTTCAATTAGATAATGCCTGAGGGCAGATTGGATTGAGTGTCCGAGGCCTTGACCCCAATTCCCCTTCTTGATGAGTAAGAGCTTGGCAGCGTTGATAAGCCAAGCTGAGGAGATAACATCACAAAATCTTTCAGAGAGGAACTCAACCAGTGTTTATGTCCCCGGCTTAGAACCCCAGCTTGTCAACACGGAGCACGCATGGGGGCTCATGGTAAAGCTAGGGAAAGACGAAGCTGCTATACTATCTACTCCCCCCTTCCTATCAATAGGAAGTGTGGCCTCTCTAGATATCTGTTATGACTGTCTATTTTAGCTTCTCCTTGCTTTTTTTCCTCAGTATTCTTTGTGCGTATTTTATGTGTGAGTATTTTTCAATGTTGAAGAATATACTATATAATTTTAACTTGAAATTTGTTGCCATTTACTTACCAATTACATTATCAATATTTATATTAATTTTATCAAATTTAAAATGATTGCAAAATTTAATATAATTTTCGAAATTCATCTTTTTTAGTATTTTACTGTAAAAACTTTTAGAGCTATGGTATAATAGGTGAGGTGCCCCTTCCAATAACAAATTTCCTGGTTCAATCCCGGTTAAGTTGATTAGATTATTCTTGCACAGTCATTGGTAGTATATAAGCCTCTAACAAGGTTTCTTGGTACCCCAACCATGCTGATAGAAAACCCATACTGATATGGCGCTCCCAAACGAAACCCATACTGATATAGTGCTGCCAAACAAAACCCATACTGATATAGCGCTCCCAAACAAAGCCCATACTGATATTATTATAATAATAATAATAATGATATAGAAATTTATATATCGCCTTTTGCCAAAGGAGATAAGGCGCTTAGAAAAAGTTTTATTTTAAGAAAAAGGATAATTTAGGAAATAAGTGTGCTTTTAAGAGTGCTTTTTAAACACCATATTCATAATAATGTGTGTATACTTCTTACAGATTTCCAATTGGTTTGGAAACAAACGAATTCGGTATAAGAAGAACATCGGTAAGGCTCAAGAGGAAGCTAATCTGTATGCGGCGAAGACAGCAGCGGCCGCAGCTTCCGTAGGCTCACAGAGTCGATCACCGAGCTCTACTCCTACAACACCATCAGGTACTGGACCCAACAGTGGTAAGCCTCCATCCCCGTTAGCCTAATACCCTATCCAGACTAGACAATATTTGCAATTGGTTTGCTACAACCAATCACAGTAATTCACAATTTAAAACTGTTTGTGAAAGCTCACCAATCGATATTGCAAATTGTTACCTGTTGCAAATAGGTGCTACAATCTTTTTTTACTCCTGATCATGGAATCTGATTGCAACGAATCACAACAAATCACACAGACACTAATTGGCATTGGTCAGTCAACATGAGTTGGTCAGTAGAGTTTACAGTGTCGTAATTGTAAAGTTTTTTGGGTGTGAATGCACCCAAGAGTTGTGATTGGTAGCAAATATTTTGTATTGCCACTAATTACGTAACAACCAACCACAACATCTAGTCTGGGTAAGGTATAACTGTGCCCTAATTCCTCATTGTTGATTATGAATATTGAAAGTAGTAGAACCCTTTGGCTATGATTGATTATAAATAATTCGCTGGCAAGTATGCCCTATTTTACTGGTTTCATTAGTTGTCTCTGATCAATTAGATATAGAAAGCACTTAAATATCAGGCATGCCTTTTGAAAAGAAATATTTGTTGTTACCAGTACTAATAATAGTTATGATGTTCTAGTGGCTGTCATGAAAGTAGGTTGATAAAGTTGGTGATAAGATTTCAGGGTTTTGCAGAGGGAACCAGCTTTCAATTATAGAGGGCAGTATACCATTATACTACATTAACCAGTGTGCTGATAGAGAATAATGCTACTCTATCTTGTAGTTAAAGGGTATGATAATGTCAATATTTTTTAAATGGAATTATATGAACAGTAAGTCACATTTTCCGACACATTTTTATTTGAAGTCAAAGAAAGCAAGGCACAGCTGAATAGGTGAAGAATAACATCTTCAGCTTAAACTAACTTGTTTTAATCAATTAGTTATTAATACAGCGTTAAACAGTAAAATGAATGCTATAAAATGGTAAAAGAATCTTGTAAATCCAACATTTCTTTATGAAGTTAGAAGCGTTTAAACATACAGTTGTTTAAAGAACAATATTTCTCAGGCAGAAACCATCACCATGTTGCTAAAATTTGTTGTTTTAACATTGAAAATGGGGAAAATAACAGCATATGATGTATAGATATATAAAAGTTAGTTTAGTGCAATAAAATAGATTTCAAAAATGTTGACATTTCAGCATGTTTTGGCGATCATCTCTGAAACATGATTTGCGACGAGTGACTGGTTTGGATTGTCTTTGCCACATATAAAGGAAAAGAGTATATTTTTAATCTTAACATATTTTGATTTAAAAAAATTACTTTAATAAATATTGATTGATTTTTGACAGGCTCAGGGAGTTTTTCAATGTCTGGTCCGGGTGGAATCATGGGAAGCTCCGAGTACTCAATGGGAATGCAGAATGGCGATAGCTACCAAATGCCAAACCAGGTTGGAGCTAATGTACAGTCACAGGTTAGTATGAAACAAATAGTGTGAAAATCGGTTAGTGGTATGATTTGGGTTGGGGAGATTGTTGGTATTTGCTTGGTGTATATTCTTGGCATATGCTTTGTCCAGTGTGGAAGATTTCAGGGGGTATGCTGATTTCCTTGACTGTTTGTCCATCATCCAATCCAATCCAATCAGAACATTTGTAAAGCGCCTTTCTTTGCAGATACGAAGCACTGCACCCGACATATTTAGGCACCTCACAACCAACAAGCAGCCGTGATCATTGCCTAACCCAAGCACAGAACAAGCAAACAAATCAAATAGAAGCAGTGGCAAAGTTTGGAATCATAAATAAATAATGCAACAATAAATAAAATAAGAATAGATATGGGATAATTAGTTAAAGAGGTGAGTCTTTAAGTTTGACCTAAAGACAGCCACAGATGTTGAAGATCGAATGTGCACTGGAAGGTTATTCCAGATGAGTGGCGCTTCGCACGGAAAAGATTTGTTACCAATACGCTTGTTAAAGATATCATGATGATCTACATTAAACATTATCTTTTATTTCATAACAGGTCCAAAATCTCCGCCAGGTGATTTCGCAAACGGGAGGCTACAATGACACAGCACCCCCAAGCACCCAGTCTTCTATGTACAATATGTCCCAGTACAGTAACCAACACTCGGCAAGTGGAAATGGGGGAAGCGATATGGTAGGTGCCTCATGATGCCAACTTGCTGCATGTCCATCCCATCATGCCTTGCTTTTGGATTGATGTTCTACTTTCTGCTGCATGTCTATCCCATTACATCCGTCTTGCATGGAAATGTGTTCTCTTTTTTGGTTTTGTATCCTATAATTCATTAAAGCAGTCTCTTCATTTGCAGAGATTATTGATACCATCGGAAACGATTGTTTATGTATGACGATCATAACTTCCTAAAATGCACATCATTAATAACATCACCTTTCCAAATTTTGTGGTAGGCCTGCACATTTAACACTAGCCTATGCTGAAATTTGGTAGCCAGACCCTACTTAGCCAAGTGATATCTCAATAGGCATAGCTTCATAATCATATACATTTATTAATCTTGTATATCAGAAGTCATTTGTGTATAACAGCTCTTTTTCAATCATTATTTAAATTCCTAAGCTATATCCATTTTAAGTGAAAAATTCCTGCGATTTGTCCAAATTATGGGTATGATGTGACATCATCATACCCGTATATGGGTCTGATATGATATATGAAAAGTTAAGCAAAAAAACCTGGCACTGTGAATAAAGCCTAAAAGAATATAAATCAGTGTACAGTAATTAAACATCTTTGTCATAAGATTGAAAATTTAATCATATTTTCATCATTTTATACTATACATAACTTTTCAAATTGGTATATTTTTCAACCTTATGACAGACCAGTTCATATGTATACTATAAAGTGATAGAATTATTGGTTCCATTGCAACCATTTAAAATTATCTACACATCAGAAAGATAGTGAAATGATAATGATCAGAGATGATAATGATAATGATTTGTATATTTATGATTATGGTGAATAATTATACTGATTAATAACATGATTGAACAATAATGACAAAATTAAGTGTTTTTTTTTGTATGTTGAATTGTATATTATTCAAAATTAATTCTCGAAACTATGCAAGCAGCATTACAGTAAGGATGGTTGGTGTTTTTGCCTGATTATGAGAATTTCACAACTTCACTTGAATTACTGGTATAATCTTAATAAATATTTCTTTAGTAATTAATATAATGAAGTAGAAATTACCATTGTAAATTATTTAGGATTTTTTTAAAATTGAAAATTGTATATTTAACAGTTAAAGTTGACTTAAAAAATATAGTTAATTTCTGAAATCATGACTTGACTATTTGAAAGCATTTATTTGAAATATTCTTGTTCGGGGATAAACCTCTTTTTGTCATCTGCACTCACCTTATAAATATGTATGTGTAAATATTGTAACATATTTATTCTTTAGCTAACAAGAAATCAACGCATTGAAAATTTGAGCTGCGGTATTCTTACTGTAGGTCATTGTATCCGAAATGCATCCCTCATAAATAGATAGCATTTCACCGTCCCTTAAGGACTCTGCTAATTGCGATACATAAACCCCAATTGAAAAGAAAAAAAGGTATCTAATCCGTGATTGACACCGTGATGTCTGCGAAGGTCTTAAGTGTAGAATCACTCCTTTTGTAATGTAATTGGTTGCTTGCCCATCTCAGTAGTTAAGTCCCTTCTGAATCGGATTTCAAACCACTTCAACTTTGCTAGGATCTTCGTGTATCTGATATTAAACTCTTAACTAAACAACGAGACAAAAATCCTAATGCTAAATAGAATTATTCTAGTGTGTTCATTAGCCTACATGTTTCTTTTCTGTGCTCATCATTTGTTACAATTTAGATATTTCATTTATTCTGGAGGTATTTTAAAAGTTTTTGGCAGTTTTATTACTTTTCATTTTATATCTCTTATTTGAGCTCCATAAACCTACAATTAATAAAAATAGTTTTTGAAAAAAATATTTGCCTATATTACATTTTTTTTAAATTGCCATTTTATAATAATTTTAAATTTTGATTTCTGATATTATAAAAGTCAGTATGTTTTGGTGTTTTTTTCTTGAAGTTGCTTTTTTTTGGGGTTTAATATAATATTTCTATACAATTTTATCAATTTTTTTCTGTCTGGATTATTTGATCCAAATTTGATTTTTTTTAATACAAAGTGCTTTGTGGTAATATATATTAAATCTTCTGTTACAAATTTAAAATTAAATTGAATTCAGAAGTATATTCCCTTTTAATTCTTTGTAAGTGAATGCAACTTGCAGTGCGGCTTAACAGATTTCACTCTCAACTTATGCACTTAAAACATTCTTGAGTTTAAATTGATATAGTACAATTTTTTAGATTTTCAAGGGTGGTACATACAAACAGTTACGTTCATTATGGCCTTGGGTTTTAGATTTAAATTTCAACTTATACTGTAATCTCAAAATTGTGGGATATTTCACTAATAATTTTATTTCATAAAAATAAATTTCAACTTATACAGTAATCTCAAAATTGTGGGATATTTCACTAAGTTATCAATAATTGTATTTCATAAAATTATAATTTTTCCACTACAATTTTAAATTCACTAAATATTCTAAATCTAAATTTATCAATATGAATTAATAATCTCCAGAATAAACTTGAGATTACGCATCTGATCTGTAAGTTAATCTCACTAGCTCTAAACTATTATTCCAAAATAGAAATCAAGATATCCAGATAATCCAAAAATTATCCACAGACTAAACTTGCTTAAGCGATTTACACTGATGTTTAATTAATTACTTGATCTTTAATTTAATCTTAAAAGATCGGAAGTCTAATCTAAAGGCAAATAGAGGTCAAATGTCTAAATCCTAAAATTTGAAAATTATCTGGGATTATGCCACAGATTAAACTTGCTTAAGAGATTTACACCAATGAATTCATCTGAACATTAAGCTAATCTCACTTGGTCTAAATTCTACATATTTCAAATAGATATTAATTTCTAGACATTTTAAATCCTAAGATATAATATTAATCTGGAAGCGATCCATGGATTAAACCCACTTTTAAAGTGATTTATACAACCATTGATAAAATTTACTGATATTTAAGCTAATCTCACAAGATCTAAACTGTATCCAAACTAAGATGAAGTTTAGTCATTTCTAAATCCTAGGTATCAAATTGATTAATAGATAATCCATCGATTATACTTGCTTAAGAGATTTAACCAATATTGATTGGTTAAATTAATTAATCATAACTTCATGCTGATCTCACAAGATTTTACCGCTAATAAATCCAGATAGTGGTAAATTTTGAGACATTTAAAACCAAGTTATCAAATTAATTCAGAAATAATCTGCAGATTAAACATGCTTAAGAGATTTACACCGATGTTGAATTAATTCAACTGATCTTCATGGTGAACTTGTAAGATCTGGCACAATCTTGAAATTGATATCTTAGCTTACATGTCAGTCGCAACATAATCACATTCCTGTATTTACAGTTAGGTTGAGTTTGATTATTGGGTTGAAAGGGTATTTGGATTCTAGAAGCATATATGTTATTTTCTACATATTTGTGCCAAATGCGGTGGTAAAACCTTAATGGCTTAAAGAAATCTTTTCTATTGCTAAGATTTATTTGACCATATATATGAAATTTAATTTAATTAATGGTAGGATGGAATTGGAAAATAATAAATTAAATGTGAATTGAAACAAAGATTTATAAAAAATCATTTTTGTTCTTTTGGTAGAAGGGGAGAAATTTGTAACTGGCATTTGGTTGTGCAAATATTCATATACACCTGAATAAATTTGACATTTTTCCCCATTTTTTTAACGTGTGTAAAGTTGGATTTTTATATGTTAGGCCTTGTAATACTTTTGCATAATATGCAATATTGATCATTTTAAGCCTAGTGGGGTTTTTTGTATGGAGAGTTGAATTGTTAAGGCCAGAGTGGGGCTTTTCATAATGGACACTGGCTTTTGGTCACATGTGGTATTAGGCCTTGTTGGGGTTTAAATGGATATTTTGTTAATTATTAGGCCTAGTGGGACTTTCCAAATGGCAATCAGAAGCTGTCAGATATTTCTCCGTGTGGGTTGTACTCAATGATTATTTACTATTAGGCCTTGGGGCATCCAAGAGGCTCTCAAAATATTTTCAAAAATTAGGTGTTGTTGGGGCATCACACAATTCACTTAAATGCTGAAGTATTAGGCCATGTGGGAGTATTTAAAGAAGGGTCTAGATTTATACACAAAATTAGGCCTCGTGGGGTTATTGGAATTGCTAATGTTTTAGGGTTGATGGGACATTATAATGACACTATGGTAATGTTCTCATTAGGCCTTGTGGGTGCTTTTGACTGTTGTGTTTATGCAAAATAATATTTTGGGTGCTGTTTGTCTTAATAGGAAAATAACATTTGTAAGTTGAGTAACATAAATGCTATAATTTGTTTTGTCGATATGAATATATTGTTTATTGTTTTTAACATTGATTTCATTTTACTGTTTATTTTGTATAAATCTAATTATATTGGTAGTTTAAAGAATATGTGATGCCTGCTTTGAAAACTTGTAATAATAAAAGGAAGAAATAGAGATACATTTTAGCATTGCTATGTGTGTATATATTTGTAATTGCTTAGGTCATATAACAAATTGTTTGATTGTTTTTGTATTTGAAGATTTGGGGAAGATTTAGGATTAGGTTCAAATGGGAAGGGTAAGAAATACAGCTGAAATAGGAAGGGATACATTTTAAATTTATGACAGGTAACGATTAAGGCTCAAATTGGGTAAATGTTATGGAGTAATGTTCAACTGGTGGAGGGAAGTGGATTGATGCTCAACTTGGGAAGAGATAAAAATGATGCCTGAACTTGGAGAGGATTGTAAGGCTTAACGTTCGGAAGAAAATTATTAATAAACTTGGGAAAGAATACAAATTAATGCTCTTCATTGAGAAGTAAATTGATTTCTTTATTAAAATGGAGGATTACAATTATAACCATGGTATCAGACTCAAAGGTGTTTGATGAAGTGGCGCATTGTGAAAGGCTGGACTGGGCTGGTAGAGCCCTTCTAGGCTAGGCTTGGCTTAGGCTAGGCTAGGCTAGGCCGAGCCGATGGTAAGCATACAGTATAAATGTCTGTCCCAATTATTAAATTTTCTTTGATAAAAAAATTTTTGTATACCCATATATAGACATGATGTACCTAAATATAGTCATGATGTGATGTCATCATGACCATATTTAGGCTTGTCACATGGTTATATGAATAACATTTGATAGCCTGGACAGTATTAAACAAAATTTGATAAAACAATGTCAGCTAAGTTTGACAGTTTGATAGACAAACATATGAAAAACTTATGATGTTGTGGAGATGTTATCAAGGTTCAATTTGGGTATGGGTAATTAAGTTATGAAAATGATAAGGATTAATTTATGGAGATCATTGTTATAAGTCTCACCAAAATTAAGTGATAATATTATTTAATAAAAACATTACACAAAATGCAAAAAAATATGTGGTATTTTGTATAGCAATTAAGTCATGTCAGCAAAACTAATTCTCAAATATTTCAGCTTATAAATGTTCTCAGTCATATTATGAGTATCAAGTCGGACTTGCAGCTGGGATTATCTGGGTTATCCCAGCATTATCAAAGTTTGCTCGAAGATTTATTTAAAATTCTGCATGTTTCTAATTGAATTAAATTTGGTCTTTATCATTTATCATCTCATAACTGCATTATTTCATTTTCTTTTTTAAAGGGAGAATCAGATATGTTCTCAATCCTAAATAGATTTAAAAATATTATCAGCATAATGTGCATGTGCATGTGTCTTCGTGCATGCATGTATGCAATGATTTACATAACGGTTTTTTGCTGATCTTTTGTGTGCTGTTAATTTGGTGGTAATGTTTTCATCGTGTGTGTAGTGAGCCACCTCTTTGCTTGTTGTCATTCTCGCAACCCATCCATCATTTATCACTGATTAGCATGTTCAGTAGAATTTCGAGATGATGTGAGTATCACTTTGGTTGTTTGTTATGATTTCCTCGCAAAAATGACCCGCTTTTAGGGCAGGTTCAATTAGAAACTGGTGAACCCCGCAGTGATTATTCTTCCCGCACGTTCCTGACCAGTCAGTGTGGCCAGAAATTACGTCTGCATTTTATTAAGTTTAATAGGAAAAAAATTTGAATTCATGCACCGTTCAGAGTGATGAAGGAAATTATTTATATATTCATAACTGGTCAGGGATGTCAGACACTTGATCGTAAGTTATTTGATATCACTACTTAATTAAAAGAAGCGTGGGAATTAAAATTTCCGTAATCTAGTATACATTGTTATAATGAAGCTCAATAATACAATTTAAAATGATTTGATGTTGCAGGAGTCGACGCATGAACACACCAACCAGAGGTCATCACCACGTGGCGATGAAAAAGTGCACCAAGGGAGTAATGGAGGGAGTAATGGTGAGGGAGGAGAAAGCTGGAATGATTTTGCAGGACTGCAGACATTAGAGGAGGAGAACAGTAATTCGCGTGATAGCCAAGGTGGAAAACACTAAAGATCGTCAGGGAGTCTCCATTTACTAACAATTATTTTTAAAATCTATAAGTTGTGAACATTTTTCAACTCACAATGATCTAGAGAGAAAATTTAAGAAAACATCCAATCCAAGGACAGCTATTATCAAAGTATAACTACAGAATAGTTTCTAGATGTCCACGTGGCGAAAGAGGCGGATTCGTTTCTTCAATACCTCATCAATTTGGACTTGTGTAGTGAATTGCAAGTTGTGTGTTCCTGAAAGTAAATTTTCAAATTTGCAGCTTACGTTAAGCAGATGTTGCAACACTGCGATAGTGAATTGTTACCTGTTTGAACCTTCCCTCCCTGAGTTGATTTCTCACCTGGTTGACACATGTGTTGTACCTCCACCTGGGTTGATTTCTCAGAAGTTGACACCTGTGTTCTATTTATGTTTACACCTGCCATTGTGTTTTTTGAATACAGATGTAACTTATACAAAAGCTGATTTAAGTCTTCAAAGTAATAATTATATTTACAAGTGGTATCTACTTACCTGTGATTGATAGAGAATGTCATTTTGATATGAAGTGTTGGGGGCTGGGATTGTTTGTGAAAGCCTTGACTACATGTCAATAAGCCCCACCCAATTCATGAATATCTCTAGATTCATCACACCGAATATATGTAGTGTTTCAAAAAAGTGTCCAATTTATACAAAACACGACCATGACATGTTATTGTAAATTGTAAAAATATAGCGGATTGCATTTCTTATAGAATCTAACCAAGATCGCACGGTATTTATGTTATATACTACAACAGTTAAGAGGGAGGGAGCGGCTAGAACTGAGGGAGTGCTAACGAATGAAGTAATTTTCATGAAATATTTTAAAAATATTATCCTTGAATGTAACAGCCTTAGTGTAACTCCCACTGTTTACTGGAAATTCTGAAGAAAAAAAAAATGGAATAGAAAGGACTTCTTGTGCTTTTTATGTACAAGAATTTCTTGAGCAGAACATACAACTTAATAAACAAACCAAGTTGGTTGTATTGAAATGTATCCAAGCTAAAACCAGATTAGGGAAGGTGTGTTTGGAAACAGAAATGTGATACAGTATTTGAACCAATTTTATGATAATTTTCTGTAAAAGAATTGTAATCAATTATGCATGAAATGAATAACTTAAGAGCGCATATTTTAATTTTTTATTTTGCATAAATTTAAATATTCATCATTGATGTATGAATACTAAAAACTTGTTTTCAGTATTTCTGCATATTAACATACAGTGTACAGAGAAAAAAACAAATCAATTTTTATGAGGTGTGGATGTGAATAAGGGTGAGGTTATTGTAATGAATCTCCTTATAAGGCATGGTGTGTGATTTGCATATCATGAATATTCATTGTGCAGTAACCAAAATGTAAATATGTTTGTACCTTGATGTAGAACGTAGGAAGCATTATAGTATTAGCAGTATTTGTTTTTTTGTTTTTTTTAATTTCTATTTTTTCTTTCAAACGTTTAAGTACATGCTGCTGTTTCAGTTAACATATTTTGTCTGTTTTTTTTGAAAGAAAACATTATTTTAAAATCAGTTTTCATTGTCCTAAAATTAAAGAGAGAAATCTTATAATGTTAATGTCAATTCATCTCCAAATATAAAATTTCTTTTTTAATTATAAATAACTGACTATGATATCCTATATTTTAAGTCTTTTTTTTTGTTTTTTTTTTTGAACATTTTCTTAGATATGTATTTTGTTGAGTGTTTTTGTAGCATTTGTTTTTGTAGCATTTGTTTTCATTAATAATTTTTTAATGACATATTGTTTCTGTTTTATATGCGTAGACATTAAAATGTTAGAAGTTCATCAGTTCAGTTCGTCTTGCTGGGGAGGCAGTTCTTTTAGCTATGGGCGTGAAATGAGGAAAGCTAGACTTTATTGATGAGAATTATTGGCACAGTTGTCTTGAAGTCTCCTTGTGTGTATACATCATATCTATTTGTGTAAGGGTGGGTGGGTGTGTCAGTAATTTTAAAATATACTTTGAGAGGTTGCTTGAGTGCCTTTAGTAAATGATTATACTTAATTATTCATTACCCAAGATGCAACTGGTGTTTATTTATCTTATCTACTATTTTTAAAGATCAATTTTAACCAAGTAAATTTTATATTCTTTTTAAGTGATATTATTTTTTTTATTGTCATGCTATTCACCTTTATTATCTTTAGGAATCGTATGGTAAATTCATGCAGGGGTGACAGCCTTAAAAATACAGACATTTCATTGGTAATTTATTGACATTTAAACTTAGGCAACAAAAAAGTATACAAATTAAAGATGGCATCCTCTGATATTTTCAAAGGAAACTCATAAACATGAATTTTAGATTCCATTTTTGGAAAGAAGATAAACTGTAAGACTGTACAGACCAATTTAAAAAAAAAAATTGACAATAAAATACCAATTTTGAAATACCATTTTTTTTGTTTAGTAGTTATACTATTATTTTAATTATGATTTCTGTTATCTCTGCCCAGACTATCAAATATGCCCAAATATAGTCATGATGTGCCTATATATGGTCAGGATGTGCCTATATATGGTCAGGATGTGATGTCATCATGACCATATTTAGGCATGTCACATGTTTTTGTCAAATAAAATTTTTAGTCTAGACAGGGCTTAAATCGATGAAACATGGTGTTAAGTTCCAGGTGAATTAATTTGAAAGATGAATTCCCTTCAAAGAGAATACAGTATAATGTAGCAGAAAACAATACGTTATAACTGAACTTCTTTATGATTTAATATATTACAATTGGATAACAATGTGCATTGTAAAAGAAATTCCAGTGTGATTCAAAGTAATTGTCCTTTTGCCGTTTAACTGTTCAATTCGAGAACAGATTAACTTGAAATATTACTTTGGTTTTGGAGTTAAGAAAGATGGATGTTTCAACATCCAGGATACCTTTAATATATGAAAGGTTTAGTGGTTAAACACGATTTAATTATAGAGTTTGAAAACGGAAGTTTAAAGAGAGGTAGAGAGTCACGTGTCTACCACGGAGACGGCAGTGATATTACTGCAGACTTATTGGCAGTTAACTCTTAACGAATCATGATGAAATTCAAGAATTTATAAACTCTAAATATATCACTATCAAATTGTATGTAACAAATCATGTGAATTGCCCATATATGGGTATGATCTGACATCATCATGCCCATATATGGATGTGATATGACGTCATGATGCTCATATATTGGTAATTCACTCCGATTTGTCACATAAATGTGATAATGTGGATGGAGTGTACAACATATTAACATAATTCATCTTCCTATGCACTCGTTTGTTCAATTTTTAATCATTATTTTTTGATGAAATAACATTAACAAGGGGAATTCCATTAACAAAAACCATTGGTTAACCCCTCTTCCCTTCACCAACATTGGAATAATAACTACCTCATCAGCCATCTTCAATCATTCACAAGTCTCTCAACTAAATATTCATGTTGATATAATTTCAGAATAATTGTAAAAACGTCTACACCTAGATTTTTCATATCGGTCATCATGTTGTACACTAATACAAGTTTTGATGATTTTCTTTGTGGACTTCTTTTCCCTTTAAGTTGCATTTTAACTATTGATTAACACGGACAAGTATCTCATAGTTATTGTATTTTAATTTATGGTTGTATGAAAGGTAGGGGCAGGGAGAAAATAATTTGTCAATCATAATTACAGTACCGATCAATGTTTATGTTGTTTATTATACAATGTTTACTATGTTTATTGGTTGACCACCAACTGAATTTAATTTAAGCCTACAAAAAAAAAGGTTAAAAAGGAAGAATAAAATAAACAATGCTGTATTTACTGGTATGCTGTGTTATAGAGAAAAAAATACTGCACTTGTTTCTCATTGGTTACATTTTGAAAGACAATCTGAAATACGTGCCCGTGTGTTGTTGCTTACCTACTCTTCCTAAGAATATGAATGTGTATGATCATTGGTCAATCCGTATCATGTGATGTACATCAGTCATTAATGACGTTATTTTACATTTAAAAAAACAACTGACGTCTGAATATTTTAACGTTTGAAGCAACTATGTGCCAAAATGATTCAATTAAGACTTCCATGTAGCGATTTTAAATTGATACGTTTTTCTATAGCGATATTTGTAAATGAATTGTTTAATCGTTGATTATGTTTGAAATTGTTAATTGATTGTTAAGCTCATCGTATACAACTTGATTTTCGACTCATTTACCTTTCGAAGAACAGATTAGTTTGTTCTTGTGAACGTGCCAAACATATCACGTAGTCCTACATTTAATCATATAGAATTAAAACAAAAAACAGAGAGAGTGAATAATGACTATTCAATCCGGCTTTACTTTATTTCCGACTGTCTGAAATGTAATGTATACACATATGTTAGCAAACACGAGCTGGCGGTAGTCTGATTAAAAATGAAGTCTAAGGGTGTTTAAAATGTTTTTCTTATTCCACGGCGAACCTACGCCTCAATTAGTGGATAAATTTCTTTTCCGGAATATAAAGACTGATCGTTCGTTTTTACTTTTCACACTGCCCCTAAGTGAAAGTTGTCGCCCAGAGCCGAATGCATCCGAGTACCGTGCAGTTAGAAGTGTTAAATCTGTCAAAATTAATCTTACTGGGCAGGGTATATGCCGATAGCAGTCGGCTATTTATCTTTCTGAGGCACGTGGCTCGTAGTAAATTCAACAAAGTCTCTCACCCACAAGTATTCTCTCGAGTCAAACGCCTCGCCATCAGTCAAACCGGGAGCCGTATCAGTCGAGAATCACTTTCCTTCGGATGTGTCTTTTAAACCCTACTGACATCCGGAGGGGAAATTATCAAAGGTAACTTAATGTCTTTGATGTGACCGATTGAAAGTAGCAACTACATATGTTTCCCCTTTAAAACACCATGTACCTTAAATGAGTCGAGATTTAAGTTGTCTTTTTAACTCTCCATTACAATTATGGAAGGTATTTTAGTGTATATCAAATGGGGAAAGCTTAATCAAATAATATACATAATTCGAAGGTCACCAGTATATTTTGTCGACGTTCTTTGGTTTTGTAACCATGATTTTCCAGCATCTAGTCACGTGACGGCCTTGCGTCATCGGAAAGTTTGTAAGGTTTGAATGTAGGTTATCTATAATGTATTTTTTTCTTATTATGACGTAGGCCTAATTGTCAATATCTACCTTTAAATTTGGAGGACTATTCCAGGAAAAATGTTTGAATGAGCGCTTTCAATATCTCTGGGGGTTTTCACATCATCGCAGTATACATTGTATTTTTTTTTATAAAACTTTTTTTCGTTGCTGTTTCCTGTTTTGTTGACTTCTCTGTTAATAGAAGGAAAGCGGCTTTTTGTGTGTGCCATTGTACCGATGTAGCTTCGAAATAAAACAGCCTTCGCCTAGCGGACGAGAAATTGAGAGAAAAACATGTATTCAGTGAATTGTGTTATTCTTTTGTTATCGTGTAATTCTAACATAATTTGTAGGATTATGGAGATCAGTACATATTTCTTAAATAGTAAGCCCAAGCTTTATCTCTTGATGGTACATGTTGTATCATGGTGGTCTTTAAAATGTGAAGCGTCGAATTTTCAAGCCTGTTTTGCATGTGCGACAATGCAGACAACAATCACACGCGCAAACTTTTCGTCTGCCAACCTGCTATTGTTCAGTTCAGGGTAGAGTTTAGAATAGCCAAGCAAGGATTTTAACATTTGTTTCCATGAAATCGCTACTACACACTATCGCCGACAGCTTTCGGCGACGCTGATGATCGTCGGCACTCAAATCGAGGAGTGTTCTCGATTGCGTCGGAGACGGCTTCGACCGGGTGACTGCAGTGAAAACGCTGTAACGACCGTGGTTTTATGAAAATTTGGAAATTATAGGACTACGTTTAGCATAGTAAAACATTAAAAGAAAATGTTGCCCCAAATAATGCATACTCATGGTTTTAATACGTTTCACGCACATCCATTGGTTCTATAATTACAGATTCTACGCTAATCTCCTGTTTATGGCGCAAGAGATGATTTTTCCATTCGTCATAAGACATACGCGTGTACTAAATCGTTTTACGTCACAAGAGGTCATGATATGGGAAAGCTTACAAAAATAATACTAGGGTTCTATAACAAATAAGGCGCCTCTGAGGATGATTTTTGTTTCCATGGCTACATTTAACACACACCAGCAGCACTACCGGCAGGTACAGCCTATAATACTCAAGTTAGATATAGACCTACTATAAGTACAGTACATGCTGTTGAGCTGATGAACATTCTAGTAGCTCTTGTGGAAAATATCTGAAATTATGTATTCGTGCTGACCCATGTCTCTCTCCAATTAAAGACCACTTTTGGGACCGGTGTTTCTATGGTCTCAGTAGCCTAATAAAGATAAAAGAAATTTGTTAATTTGGGACCACAGAATAGTGGTCTTTAATTGGAGGGGTTCCTTAGTTGGAGGGGTCTTTCATTGGATTTGTTTCGTTTATTCGCACAACTGAGTTTGACACCTAAGCCATACTATAACGAATTTTGTGCGAATGTATTTTAATATATTGAAAAAGTGAAAGGAGCCGACGGGCAACCATGCTTTAATTTAAGTTTAGTTTTGCAGAGCTACATTAATCACAATATATCATAGTATCATTCTCAAAGAGTTCAATCACCAAGTGCATAAAGGCTTTTTTGCATGATAACTACCGTAAAACTTCGAATTGAAGCCCTGTGCTTATTTTTTTGCTTTTGATGGGCTTTATTTCGAGATGGGCTTCTTTTCAAAATGAATGCTGTAAATTTTGGGAATTCTACTGTAAAAAAAAAAGTAGGGCCACTGTAACATCGATCCCATGTAGTGTACCGGTATGTACTGATGTCGAAAAAAGGTCCGTGCTATCTTGAAAAAAATTCCATGGGCTTCTTTTCGAGACTTTTTGCAAAGTAAAGAGTGTTCCAAACTAAAGAAGGGGCTTCAATTTGAGATGGCCTTCTCGAGATTAAGCCCATTGGGCTTCTACTTGAGATTCCACAGTATAGGCCTATTATTTAAGGTTACCGGTGTTATGTACTAGGCCTACCGTATTTTCGAAGATCCCTTTGGTGTTAGAAGATTGAACGCATGATTCTCGTCTCCTCTGATGCGATTCAATCTGAATGATGGAGGCAAACAGGTAAGTCATAATAATTGTTCGATTATATGAAATACAGTTTTATCATTGGTTCTAATGCCTATCTTAAATAAAGCCGACTCCGTGTATTACAATTGTAATCAAACTATCACATGATAGGTAGGCCTATGGACGCGATCGACTAGAGCCGTTCCAATATCATATGCCTGTATTATGTTGAATGTTCTTACAACATAATGCTGCATCAATAGGCTGTAGTATAGCTTTT